AAAATAAACATTTAGTCATTTTTTCATCCTCATTTGGTTCCAAAACCATTTTAAGGTCATTTTACCATTAAACACCGAAAGAGAATTTAGGATAAATTCTGCAAGTCAATTTTTAATATTAAGATCTACAGACTATAGTCGTATTGTGGTTGGAAGATGGTGGACAAACGATTTTAGATTTTCGAACCAATGATTTTTTTTTTATCCTACATGAAATAAAATAATCCACACTAACATGAACATTTAATACTTTTCTCATCCTCATTTGGTTCCAAAATCATTTTAAGTTTGTTTTACCATTGATCACCAAAGACAATTTGGGATAAATTCTACAAGCCATTTTATTCCATACTAAGGTCTACCGACTATAGTTGTAATGTGATTAGAAGATGGTGGACCAATGATTTTTGATCTTTAAAGTGAAAAGGATTATTAGAATTCAGATTATAGAAAAATATTAAAAGAACAGATTAACATATGCCACTTCTTATACATTCTACAATCTAATAAATGCCAATTAACTGTGTTTAATAATTGAAAATGAACACTGACCAAGTGTCCAGACAAAAAGGGACAGTCGGTGTACTGTGAAAACCCTTAAAGGGATAGATCCCCAAAATAAAAATGTACTCACCCTCCAGTGGTTGCAAACCTTAATGAGTTACCTTTTTTCTTTTAAACACAAAATAACATGGTTTGAAGTATGGAAAAAGCTTGTAACCATTGACTTGTCCATAGTAGGAGAAACAAATACTATGCAAGTCAATAGTAACAGGTTTTCAAGATTGATCAAAATGTCTTCTTGTATGTTTGACAGAAGACAGAAACTCAACCAGGTTTGTGACAAGTGAAGGGTGAGTAAGCGATGACAGAATTGTCAGTTTTGGGTAATCTACTCCTTTAAGAAGGATTAAAAACATATAGCTGGCAGGGACTAAAAACCTTTTTATTTAAAACATCTACTGTGTTAAACCACAAAAAAAAAAAAAAAAAAAAAAACTCTTACAGGTTTAGAATAACCTAAGAGTGAACAAATTATGACAGAGTTAAATTTTTTTTAGGAGAAGTGTTTCTTTGTGGGGAAAAAAACCCCCATAAAAATATTACAGTAGTTGCATCCACAGATTTGAAACAAATCAGGATGTAAAATGGCAAAACCGTCATGTACCTGTATAAAGTGACCTATTCTTTTAATAAAGTCAAAAACAAGCTAAATTCAAACTTCTATTTGCTGTCTGCCCTCAGCTGGAGTCCTGAAACTTAGAGTATTTAGGTGTTAGTCTTTGGCATTGTATTAGAAAAGCCATGTAAGATTTATCTACAGGAAATATACTCTCATCTAAATCTATAACAGACAACTAAATTACAGAAATGCTTACTTCCTGTGCAGAAAAAAAAGTAGAAAATATCCCTTGGTGCATAGGTCTCAAACTCAATTTCCTCAAGGGCCGCAGCTCTGCACATGTTTACACCAACCCTAATCAAACACCAACTTTGCTCCAACTAATCAAGGTGTTCAAGACAACTAGAGACTATTAAGCACGTGTAACTTAGTGCAGAGCTGCAGCTCTCCAGTAATTGAGTTTGAGACCATTGCCTTAGTGCAGTGTTCGGTGGAAAATATCTCCTAAAATATAAGTTTACAGTTGTGAAGACGCATGCGAGCTTCCTTTTAAGCTTCATACAGACTCCCAAAGTGGACATTAGTGCTAATCAAATACAAGTTTGTCCATCTCCAACCAATGGCATTAGATAAAAATAGGGCACTGGTGTTAGTAGGGTACACTGAAAAAAGATGATTCATTGGATTTACTCGATTTCTTTAAGGTAAGTGGTTGCAAACGATTTATATAGACTGAATTTAAACAAACAAATGAAGATTGAAAATTCTGTCATCTGTTATCTTTCATTTGTACCACATATTTTTGAGTTTCTGTTTAACTGAGATTTTGAGAAATTTTGTAAACCAGCAACCATTGACTTCTATTGTATATTTTGATCCATTACTAAATTTAATTTGTTTAAATTCAGCACATATAAACTGTTTGCAATCACTTACCTTAAAAAAAAAAATGTAGCAAATCCAACCATTAATTCTTTTGAGTGTATAAGCTCAATCAGTAAGCATGTCGACACCGCAAAAAATCGTTATCACCTACACTTATGTTGTTAAAAATCAATAGATTTCTTTTTTCTGCAGAACATAAACAATATATATATATTTTAAATGTTAATTGTTAAAGTTTAGGATGCTGACATTTTAAAAAAACAAAACACGTTTCCAAATATCGTCTTTTCATACATTTGGAATCGTGTGGATTTGAGCATATTGAATTAAAGTGATTTTCGCTAAATGAAAGAAAGTAAAAATAATAAATGGTAACAGAATTGGGGGTGAAATGTCCCTTTGAAACATTTATAGAGGGCAAATTTGTGATTAGTACTCATTCGGTAGTTCCATCATCAAATTAAATTAGAAGAAAATGGGCCACCGGTCCTTAAATTAGCACGGCTATTCCTCAGACACACGATATCTGGTGTGAATGGGTAAAAGAATGTACTATAGGAGGCATCTCAAAGGGAGAACATGTAGAAGAACGTGTGATGTGATGCGGAAGCTCAGAGTTTTTGAGACATCAAGTTTACAGTTGTAAAGACGCAAGCGAGCTTACAAACTCCCAAAGTGGACATTAGTGCTAATCAAATACAAGTTTGCCCCTTTCCATACAATGGCATTAGATAAAAACGAGGGCACTGGTGTTAGCACAGTACACTAAAAATGGTGATTCGTTGGATTTACTCAATTACTCAAGGTAAGTGGTTGCAAACGATTTATATGAGCTGAATTTAAACAAATGTTTGAAAATTCTGTCATTTGTTATCTTTCGTTTGTACCACACATTTTTGAGTTTCTGTTGAACTTAGATTGAAAAATTTTGTAAACCAGCAGCCATTGGCTTCCACTGTATATTTTAATCCATTACTAAATTTAATTTGTTTAAATTCAGCCCAAATAAATAGTTTGCAATCGCTTCCCTTAAAAAAATAAGCAAATTCAATCAATCTTTTTTTCAGTGTATAAGCTAAATCAATTTGCATCTTGACACCTCAAAAAAGAAAATTTCGTTGTTAAAAAACAATAGATTTCTTTTTTCTGCAGAACACAAACGATATATTTTTAAAAATGTTGCTTGTTAAATAAGTTTACTATGTTTCAAAAAAAAAAAAACATTTCTAAATATTGTCTTTTCGAAATTGTGAATTGTAGTATATTGAATTAAAGTGATTTTCGCTGAATGAAAGAAATAAAAATGACAAATGATGACAGAATTGGGGGTGAAATGTCCCTTTAAAACATTTATACAGGGCAAATGTACCCAGAGTTGTGATCAGTACTAATTTAGTGGTTCCATCAGCAAATTAAATTAGATGAAAATGGGCCACCGGTCCTTAAATTAGCCTTTTGATTCCTCAAACACGCTATATATGGTGTAATTGGGGAAACGAGTTTACAATAGGAAGCATCTCAATGGGAGAACATGTAGAAGAACGTGTGATGTGATGCAGAAGCTCAGAGTTTTTGAGACATCAAGTCCATTTACAGTTGTGAAGATGTATGCGAGCTTACAAACTCCCAAAGTGGACATTAGTCCTAATCAAATACAAGTTTGCCCCTTTCCATTCAATGGCATTAGATAAAAACGAGGGCACTGGTGTTAGCACAGTACACTAAAAATGGTGATTCGTTGGATTTACTCAATTACTCAAGGTAAGTGGTTGCAAACGATTTATATTGGCTGAATTTAAACAAACAAATGTTTGAAAATTCTATTTGTTATCTTTTGTTTGTACCACATATTTTTGAGTTTCTGTTGAACTTAGATTAAAAAATTTTGTAAACCAGCAGCCATTGGCTTCCACTGTATATTTTGATCCATTACTAAATTTTATTTGTTTAAATTCAGCCCAAATAAATAGTTTGCAATCGCTTCCCTTAAAAAAATAAGCAAATTCAATCAATCTTTTTTTCAGTGTATAAGCTGAATCAATTTGCATCTTGACACCTCAAAAAAGAAAAGAAAATTTCGTTGTTAAAAATCAATAGATTTCTTTTTTCTGCAGAACACAAACGACATATTTTTAAAAATGTTGCTTGTTAAATAAGTTTATGATGTCTTTTCGAAATTGTGAATTGTTGTATATTGAATTAAAGTGATTTTCGCTGAATGAAAGAAAACAAAAATAACAAATGATGACAGAATTGGGGGTGAAATGTCCCTTTAAAACATTTATACAGGGCAAATGTACATAGAGTTGTGATCAGTATTAATTTAGTGGTTCCATCAGCAAATTAAATTAGATGAAAATGGGCCACCGGTCCTTAAATTAGCCTTTTGATTCCTCAAACACGCTATATATGGTGTAATTGGGGAAACGAGTTTACAATAGGAAGCATCTCAATGGGAGAACATGTAGAAGAACGTGTGATGTGGTGTGGAAGCTCAGTTTTTCAGCAACCCAGCAGCCAAGTGACATCCACACACAGTGCATGCTAAAGTTAACAGCTAAAGTACAGATGACTTTCATTAAAGGGATAGTTCACCCAAAAAAATCCTCACAAACTTTGATCAATTCCTTTCTTCGGTTGAACATAAGGGAAGATATTCTGGAAAACATTGGAAAAGGTAGCCATTGACATCCATAGTATGAACTAAATATACCATGGAGATCAAAAGTTCAAACATTCTTCGTTATATCTTCATTTCTGAAAGAAATCGATGAGTAAATGACTATTTTCATGTTTTGTTGACCCATCCCTTTAAAGAAAGTATGTTCAAACCACTGCTCCAAACCCTGCATCGAAGAAAATCTAGATTTAGCTCACATTTAACGGGGGAACACAGCAGATCCAGTCCAGTTGAGTCTAGATTTGTTCGGCGTGAATATGAGCGCAGGTTTAAATCCAGCCTGTCCATGAAGAAATCACCACTGAACTTGTGTGCGAGTGATTAACCGTCTTCTGTTTCGTTTCAAAGAACTTTTACAAAGAATAGAGCAGACATGAACCAAACAACAACAACAAAAAGAGCTGCACAAGAGTAGCAGCTATTAAAACAAACAGCAATTATAACATCAATGATAATACATAACCAAAAAAAAGTATAAGAGTATTAACATTAGGGAGGCAAAGTATCCAGTTGTGTCCCTTCTTCAGGTGAAGCGTCTCCCTCAGAGGGTTTGGCACAAGAGTCTGATCAGCCGAGAGAGAGAAAGCGAGAGTGGAATATGCTTTAAACATCCCTCTCGACTCGCCTCCGTCGCACTGAAACACAAAACAGAGACGTGTTAGTAATCGGATACATGCAAACACAGTGTTTGTTTGTGTCTCAACACGCCATGCTGTGAACTACCAGAACTTATAATGGGATCTGCTCATTTTAAGTGGCTTTAGAAATCAAGGGTGTGTTAGTCAGTATGTTATCCTGTTACAAAGCTACACACAGTTATCAAAACAGCACATACAGTGATACGAGGAATCTAATCACCATTGTGGAGAGCTATATGAATCTGCTGTAGATACGGTATTAGTTTTCTTTTACAATCTCTGCTTCTCAATGCATATTTCATTTAAATGTATCTTGTTATATATCTATCGTTCCACCTCAGAATTGCTTTATTCCCTATTTTGCACTCCTATTTATTATCTACAGCAGTGGTCCCCAACCTTTTTATAACTGTGGCCTGGTCAATAATGTTCATTATTGATGTATAACTGACTGGTGAGCCGTCTGACAAAAAAAAAAAAAATGCCCTTCTGAATCAAATCAGCAGGATGCCTGACTTTAACTGCAGTTCGGCAGTTTCACTTTAACTCATGAACATTTCATTCATGCCCCTGTGACAAACTGGGGTAATAGACGCAAATAAGGAGTAAGGACTGGTGAGAGTGTTATGGAATTTAATAACGCACGCCGAATGGAAAGAAAAAACGTTCACATTTCGCGATGTGTGTGTGTGTGTGTGTGTGTGTGTGTGTGTGTGTGTGTGTGTGTGTGTGTGTGTGTGTGTGTGTGTGTGTGTTCCTTGACCGACAGCCGCATGTGTGGATCTTGTTGGAAAATATGGCGGAAAGTCCAACATGACAGTAGTAGTTTGAGCGCAGTGTTTACTTCAATAATGTCACTAATATATGCATACTTCACATGTCTTAATTCTATTTCTGTTTAGTTCAGTTATGACTTTAGTCGGATAAGGGTGATCAAAAAATAAATAAATAAATAAATAAATAAAATATTGCTGTTTCAAGCTTTTGTAGGCCTACAGTTCAGAACTCATGTTTAACTAAATAAACAGTTTGTAAACACAAGTACATATTATTGAACAATTTTTTTTTCCATCACTAATTATCATAGTAGAACAGTTTCTCAAGCAGTTTGTGTTGCATTTTGGAAACAGGAGATGAGCCCCTAGTCTAATGCGCCACCTGGCTTGAGTAATCCGCTCTCAAAGACTTATTATTTTGGGTAGCACACATATTCTGAATGCATTCGGCAGGATTAAAATGAGCCATTTTAATCTAGATAAATTCCTAGATTAATTTAGTTAAAAAAAAAAAATCTATGTCCACCTATAAAGAATATATTTACATGTTTGCACTGAGCAGTGAGATGCACTTAATCTCATCGCACACGTATCTATAGTACAATGTGCCTTTCATTCTTTTCTAAATATGATTCAATAGCAGGTGAAAAAAAAAAGGAAAGTATGTTAAAAACATTCATAACACATCAAATGTTACTATCCCATGAGGCCACATGAGAGGTTTTGGCAGTGAAGTAACATAAGAGACGCTTTAGGTCACATGACGGAGACAACATGGTTGTAGAGGGGGAAAAAGTATTCCAACACGTCATGTTTTTTTTCATGAAAAATATTCTAAAGGAGCTGTTGACCTATAATTAGACCAGCTTTTGGTAAAAACTCAAACAATACAGACATAAAAATATAAAAAAAGAAAAACAAAATCTGAAAAAAAAATGCTGTGTGTAATAACAATGAAATGACACGAGGAGAAAGTATTGAAATACTGAAACTTATTTAATGCTTTATATGAAAGACTTTTTTGGTGATGGCAGAATCTTGTGTGGAGAATGAAGTCAAATGCATTGCTCAGGTGTGAGTTTTTCAAAGACTTCAACAGAGTGTAAAAAATCTTGATGGTTCTGTGGGTCTCGTCTATCAAATCTGAGCTTTATTTGATATTTTCTATTAGATTCAAGTCAGGTGATTGGCTAGGCCATTCTACAGCTTGATTTTCTTTCTCTGAAAGTATTTGAGAGTTTTCTTTGCTGTGTTTTTGGATCATTGTCTTACTGAAATATCCACTCTGGAATTATCTTTATCATGCTGCTAATGTAGATGTTGGACTAAATCAGCTAATATTCATTTACAATGACGAAGGACAGAAAGTTGCTGAAGAACTACTAAGAGATTTCAACTGCTGTCTGGGCTTTCACTGCCTTTATACACCCCCCTTTCTTCAGGTGTTCAATAATTTTGTCTTGTGCCATTTCATTTTATTACACAAACTAATTTGTAAACTAATTAATATTGTTTTCTTTGCATATATGAATTTCTTAGATTTTTTAAGTCGGCAGCACCTTTAGAAATATGTTTTCTTAGAAAAATGGTGGTTTTAAATACTTCTATCCCCCACAGTATGTCTGTATTTCATTTAAACTAAGCTCATGCATTGCTTTACATAGAATATGCTTTTTAGTGACTTAAAAACCAATCCAAATTACTCAGTTATATCACATAAATTACATTTGTGAAATTCTGATCACAAAGTCTACAAACATTTTATGCAAATTTTTAAGATTATCAAGGGGCAGCTCTTTGCCATAATAGGAAGCAAAGGAGATCAGACTTTCAAAAAAAAACATACAATAAAAACACACCTATAAAAGGCTTCTGCTTTGAGCTGCAGCATGCTAATGTTTTGTGCAGACCTGTACATGTCTATATAAAGCCTGAATTCACACCGGTGAGGATCAGATAACTTATCACACTCGTTATAAAGTGTCCTATGTACAGGTGAGTCAAACAAACACTAAAAACACTGCACACATCATCCTACAATCTGTGCTGTTAGCAATTATGCCAGAGGTTAATGATCAAACTCATGCGCTCACCCGTTATACCTAAAGAGAGCTTGATGCATGACATCATCTTACACATGTTTCACAAACACTGTGCGTGTATGGTAACGTTAGGAGACAGGTCCAGACTTCATCCAAAGAAACAGAAATGAAGAGAAAGTCAGGCAGACAAAAAAATAAAAACATTCTACATTTAGTCCATTTTTTCCTCAGGAAACCTGTTTTGAAATAAGTAGTGGTTTACTGATATATTCACAGAGATGAATACTTGGCATATTTTGATTAGAAGAACCGACAGATATGTTTTTCTGTCTAAACTAGATACCAAACAACACATTTTTTCAACCCATTCAACAAGAGTAACTGTGTACACAAGAGGAAGCTGTCTGAAAGGGATGTCGAGGTGCTGATCTAGATTGTATCCGAAAAACATAAAACCAACTCGCTGCAGAATTAAATGTGCACCTCAACTCTTCTGTTTCCACCAAAAAGGTTCACAGGGTCAATTTACATGGCTGGGCTGCAATAGCCAAACCTTTGGTCACTCATGCCAATGCCAAACATCAGTTTCAATGGTGCCAGATGCGATAATCTTGGACTGTGTAACAGATTACACTGTGTAGTTCACACTGGTTCATTCAGAGGTGGGAACCGGTGGATGTGGAACAACTTTAATCATAAAGTAGATACGAAACAAAAGTCTCCATCTGGAGCTCCTCTATGGGACTCGACACATGTAAATCACTCGCGCCAACGGGCTCACACCTCTTCTGTGGCTCTCAGCGACACCCACACTTGCTTCAGACCTGTAGACCTGACCCCTCAGAAGCATATACACTACCAAGACGACCAATCACAGAGTTTGTGCTACGCATTGTCAAGAAATGTAGTTACATTTTTTAAGGCTGATGTGATGTTTCCTAATTGCACAGTGGACTTTTATTTGTTGATAAATAAGAGCGGCAATTCCTGAGCTCAAATTATTATTTACAGTTTTTTTAAATGTCTGATGGTAAATCATACTAAATGTTTACTATTTTAGGTCTATTAGGATTACCTAAATGATTGACTTTTGCTAAATGCCAGAATAATGAGATTTTTTTTCCTCTTGGTATTTTTTTTAGCTTTGTTTTTAAACTGTATAACTTTAATCAAAGGTTTTTGGTATCCTTCCACAAGCTTCTCACAATAGTTTGAATGAATTTTGTCCCATTCCTCCTGACAGAATTGGTGTAACCGAGTCAGATTTATTGGCTGTCTTGCTCACACAAGCCTTTCAACTGCCCACAAATTTTCTATAGGATTGAGTTCAGGGCTTTGTGATGGCCACTCCAAAACATTCACTCAGTTGTCCTTAAAGCACATTTTAACTAATTTGGCAGTATGCTTAGGGTCATGGTCTGTTCAGAAGACCCATTTGTGGCCAAGTTTTAATTTCCTGGATGATGTCTTGAGATGTTGCTTCGGCATTTCTACATAATGTTCTTTCTTCATGATACCATCTATGCTGTGAAGTGGACCAGTGCCTCCTGCAGCAAAAAAGCCCCACAACATGATGCTGCCGCCTCCATTCTTCACAGTTGGCATGGTGTTCCTAGGCTTGTAAGCTTTCCCCTTTGTCCTCTAAATGTAACACTGGTCATTATGTTCATTATGGCCAAACAGTTCAATCTTAGTTCCATCAGACCACAGGACATGTCTCCAAAAATGTGTCTTTTTCCCCAGAGTAATTTAACAAATTGTATTCTGGCTTTTTTTGTTGATTCTATCTTGTTGATTTGCCCTGATTGTCACACAAGGTAGCAGTGTGTTTGAGGTTTTCCTTTAATATTATTCTACAGTTGTGCCTCCAATTAACTCAAATATTGTCAATTAGCCAATCAGAAACTTCCACAACCTCGACAACATCTGAGCTTTTTCAGAGCATAATAATCTTATTGTATGTAAACTTGACTTTCAAGATAATGTTTAAAAAAATCTCTCTCTCATTATTCTGCTATTAAGCAGAACTTACCTAAAAGAGAAAAAAAATTAGTCACAATAACATCTGCCTTTTGGCATTATATTTTAAATGTGAATTCTTTAACTAGCTATTAAAAAGGCTCTTTTGTATAACCATCTGTAATATAAACACCATAAAAATAGTTATATGCCTTTTTATACAGCGTAAGTAACCTTCTGGTTTCAACTGTATATAGAAAGGCAAATCTTTTGCTAAAAGATGCCAATACACAATCTTCCTAGGGTGACGTTAATATGCATGTTAACCCTGATTTAATATAATGTAAATTAACTAAAAAAAGGCTGCGAGTGGCGCTCTATGGTGCATGAGATATCCAAAAACATATTGACTCATATTGATATAAATAACATGCTCTAATTTTAAACCTTCTGGTATGCAGTCGGCCCGCCTAAAGCAGGGGTGTCAAAACTTGGTCCTGGAGGGCCAGTGTCCTGGAGAGTTTAGCTCCAACCCTAATCAAACCCACCAGAGCCAGTTAATCAAGCTCTTACTAGATATGCTACATTAACTAGAAACTTCCTGGCAGGTTTGTTGAAGCAAGTTAGAGCTAAACTCAGGAGAACACTGGCTCTCCAGAACCGAGTTTAGACACCACTGCTCTAAAGAGATAGTTCAACAAAAATTACTTTTTTTTTCCACACACAAGTGATTACAAACTTTTATAAACTTATTTCTTCTGTTAAACACAAAGCAAGATATTCTGAAGAATGGTCGAAACCCATTGACATCAATAGAAGAATCAAAATATACAATGGAAGTCGAAGGCTGCTGGTTTACACAATTTCTCAAAATCTCAGTTCAACAGAAACTCAAAAATGTTTGGCATGACAGATGGATAACAGATGAACTATCCCTTTAAGGATGTACCATGGTGCAATCATATTTATTATGTGGAGCAAAGAATTTTTGTTTTAAAAAGGCAACACTGTTTACAAATCGGCAAATGACCAATCAGGACTCAAAGCCTTCAATCCCAGTATATGTGCATTAGGTCATGTTCTCACCCAGGTCGTTGTTTTTTGTGATTGCGGCAGCGGCGCGGGATCTGGGACCCTGCTGGGTGAAGTGGTACCCAAACTTCACGATGCTTGTATTCTGTTCCAGCATCTTCGCGATCTCCATCTCAGCCGACGTACCGAGCTGCTGCCGCTGTGAGCAAACATCACACAAAGGGGAATCTGTTAGACATGCTTACATAAGCCAACTCGTAGACATTTCACAGTGAGTGATGCCTGCATTTACTTTCTAGTGTCTGAAAATAGCAGTGCTTTGAACACATTTTAGCACATACCTAGATTTAAGATGAATTATAGATGGAACATAATTCAATCATTAGGTGCTGATTAGTAGTGTTGACAGAAGTCAACATTTGAAGTGGATCAAAACCCTTTTTGTTGTCCTAAAACTATTGAACATAGGGGTGTCAAAATTAATCGTTTCCTCTGTGCCACGCAATGCAGATGCGAACAATTCGATATCGGTTCATGAGTTATAAGTTCATGAATGAGTGATTGATTTGAACTTGAAATATTATTATGTTTGTGGGATTTGAATTAGATTAATATTGATTGTTGTATATTCAGAAGTGGTTTATTTGATTTATATCTTTATGGTTGGTTGATGTATCACCCGTTGATTGTTTTTTTTTTTGTAAAAGGTAATTAATAGGTATTGTGCCTGGGCCTGGAAATTTAAGTTTGTTTGGTTTATGGATTTACTTACAATGTGTTGAAGTTAAAGCTTGTTCTTTTCGTTTTCTTCTTTATTAATATATTGATCTGTTTGACGATTGAATATTGATTTGGTCTTTATTAAAACATGCATCTGTTGAAGCTTAGATTTTCATTTAATTGAATTATTTAAGAAACTGTAGTAGGGTTTCTTAACTGGCGCCCAACCCACTTTATTAGCCAAATACCGCTACAAGTTATAGATCATAACCGGTTATTACCTACTGACATTATTAATCTCCTACGAGTGATGTCGTGGGAAAATACTAAGGCAAAGGGGGTGAGGGCGAGTAAGTTAAATGTTCCTACTGCTTATTAAAAAGCAGATAATTGTGCATGATTCACTGCTTGTGAGTTTGCTGGACAGTCTTTCATTGACACTGAAGAAGGTATACAGCACGAGCCGCTATTTCACAACTAGGGAGAAATGCTGTAAAACTCCATCTTTGCCCCTCTTTCACTTGACATTTGACCGGCTGGCATGTTTGTGAGGTAACTTTTCCTCTCCTCTCGGCTGATCTAGACATGAGCGTGCCTGTAGTGCGAGTTTCTCCACTGCGTCTATTATGGATTACCCGTCATAACCGTCCATTATGCACATATAGACTGTATCCGCAGCTGTTCTTCCCGTGTGACTCATCGGTAACCAGCGCTTTCATTTCTAAAGCCAATCGCAGCCCTTTCTGTTGAGCGGGTGAAGACAATTACCAATCATAGGGGTGTAAGAACTCGCTTGACAGTGCTCAAAAAGCAAGCAGGATAATATTTACATTAGTCTATTTGCTATAATCATGCTGTCTTGGAGTTTTATTTAAAACATTCTAAAAGAGTTTTCTTTGAGCAGGTAAAAGTAAAGGTAGAGTTCTTATATCTTACTGCTTGTGTTAACGGACAAAATTGTATTACAAATAGTATATAAATATTAATATATTTATAGATTTTAATAAAAAAAAAATTATGCCGTGAAGAAAAAAGCAAATTATATCAGGAAAGCATCAGCAATAAACCGTGAGACACCAAGATATTGAATTGAACCGAATCGATGGCATATTAATTGTTACCGAACCGTGAGACCAGTGTAGGTTCACACCCCTAATTGAACACACATTCTCTTTTAGAAAATTATATTTTAAAAAAAGCTCTTATTTATAACAATCTGTAATATAAACGCCATAAAACAATGTGATACTTTATAACCTACTTATTATATAGTGATTATTGTGAAATCTATCTTCTAATTGCAGTGTATTTTCTGATTATTAAATAATGATTTGTTAACATGTAGTATGTTTTTACATAAAATGTAAAAACTTTATGAACCACATATTGCTGCATTATAACTTCTGCATTTCCATCCCCAAATTTAAGGTTACACCTGTAGATCGATTGTTTTGAAACAGAGAATAGAACTGTTACAATGTTGCACTTAGCTCATGGTGCGGTTCGCTTTCACATACCAAAGTTTCTAAACAGACCAAAATAGCTAAAACAAGTCACATGTGAGTAAACTGAACGAATGACATCCCATCCTACTCATAACTCTGATTCATATAGCCACATATGCCTGTTACATATCCATAATACACTGTAATATAGCCTGGTTCGTTAGTTCAGAAGATCGCATTGCACGACAATCGAAGCGTTTCAGAGTTCGTTTCAGTTAAACCAAAACCACCTCATTCAGGTGATCTCAGACCGATTGCTTTGTCGTGGATCCGAGCGCGGAAACAAACCAGGTTCCGAAACAAAAGTCTAGGTGTGAAAGCCTCTAACTATATCGTAAAAATTAGCTTCCTTAAGATTTAAGATATTTACTAAATATTATTAATAAGCTTAAAAATGCTCAAATTTGAAACATTTTAATGTTCTGCGTAAATAAAATAAGAAGAATAGAAAAATAGTAAAATGCACCTTAAAATATAACTTAAATCTTTCGTTTTAGTTCACAAATATTGGTTATTTACAAACAAATACGGTAAATCAGACTTTAAAAAAAAAAAAAAAACAGGGCTGCAACAAATAATTATTTTGATAATCCATTAAACATTAATAATAATAATAAAAATAATTTGACTAATCATCAATTCTTTCTTTATTTTTACCGCAATTCTATTAAAAATCCGGACATTTCATGGTTTCAAAGAACTAAAAATAGAAATAAGCGCCATGTTGGTACACTTTTCAACAGCAAATGTTGTCTGAGAAGATACTGATGTCTCACAGTTTGATGTCATGCAAGATAAAATCAATCGAAAACACCCATAAATCAAAAACGACCATTAACAGTTTGTGACGGTCAGTATGTGCTTGTGACCTTACCTGGTTGTCGATCTTGATCTCTGAAAGCGTGTCGTTGTCTCGAAGAGCTTCTACAAGAGCCTGAACTCCTGCACCGGTGATGAAATTAGACTCCAAATTCAAACTCCTTAGCGTCTTATTTTCTCGCAGCATGTCTGAGAACGCCTGCAACGAACACAAAGAAACAAACAAAGCTTTACATGGCATTAAGATGTACTATATGAATGTTTATAGTGCTAAAATTAGCCAACATTGTATGTAAACAATAATGATAAAAAAGACAAACATATTTGTGATCAGGGATTCTGCAGGAACCTGATATAAAGTCTTTTTGAAAGCTTTTTTAAAATATTTAAAATGCATACATGACCTTTTATGAATAACCTTGGACACCACATGTGTTAAGTTTTTACAAGTCTCCAAAATTTTAATTAAACCTTATTTCACGATGACGCAAGAATGAAACTACATTACTCTTAAATTAATTAGAAATGACTCAGGAGCAATACAAGCAGATGCACGCTGTGTCCCACATAATTAAAATCTCTGAATATCACAATAGAAAACTATGTATAAATAAATATAAAACTGTCTTGTTTTGTTATTTAAAAACTCTCTGCAGCAGTCTCGTTCTAGTAAAATTTGATCCTCAGATACACTCACCGGCCACTTTATTAGGTACACCTATCCAACTGCTTGTTAATGCAAATTTCTAATCAGCCAATAACACGGCAGCAACTCAACACTTGGTGCCACACCTGTCAGCTAAGAACAGAAAACTAAGCCTACAATTCGCACAGTCTCACTAAAATTAGACAATAGAAGATTGGATTTCTGCTGAGACATTTGGATGGTAGGGTCAGAATTTGGCATCAACAACATGAAAGCATGGATCCATCCTGCCTTGTATCAATTGTTGGCGATGGTGGTGTAATAATGTGAATGATATTTTCTTGCCACACTTTGGGCCCATTAGTACCAATTAAACATCCTGTCAACACCACAGCCTACCTGATTATTGTTGCTTAACACAGTGTACGCATCTTCTGATGGCTACTTCCAGCAGGATAACTCGCCATGTGATAAAGCGTGAATCATCTCAGACTAGTTTCTTGATCATGAAAGTAAGTTCACTACACTCAAATGGCCTCCACAGTCACCAGATCTCAATCCAATAGAGCACCTTTGAGATGTGGTGGAACGGGAGATTCGCATCATGGACATCTGCAGCAACTGCGAGATGCTATCATATCAATATGGACCACAGTCTCTGAGGAATAATTACAGTACCTTGTTGAATCCATGCTACAAAGGATTAAGGCAGTTCTGAAAGCAAATGGGGGTCCAACCCTTTACTAGTAAGGTGTACCTATTAAAGTGGCAGGTGAGTGTATATTAAACTGTATTTTAATCTACTAATGAGGAATGCGACTAAATATGCAGTGTTTTAATAACAATTATATTCATCTATCATTAATATATTTGTTTGTTGCAGCCCTATATCCCCACAAAGCTACTTTACTTTTGTGTAAAAAAGCTTGTGCTGTGCTGAAAATCCTCCCCAGCAGGCACCCTCAATATAAAGTACTTTACATGAAATGATCAAAACGATCAACTTTATAACTGCATAATTCAAACAACGCGCTTCTTTTCTTTCTATCTTTCTATTCTATACAGCACAAATCTAGAAGCAGACCCCAAAAAGCACCATATGTCCAGCTTCAACCCAGAACACGATCATCTGCAGTGAATTATGTCCTCACCACAGCAACAGGGTCATTGCTCCTGGTGGCAGCCAGACTGAACTTCTTCACATGAGTGTTCCTCTCCATGGCTTTCGCAAGCTCCTTCAGGGTCGGGATTGGAATGTTCTGGAAGACAAGAGAAGGGGAAACATTAAAAAACAGATTTGTTGTGCATGATTAAACCATGACATGTAAAAAATACTCTATTTTGCCAGTTTAAAAAAGGAGCTTTCATTCTAGGGCTTAACAATACAGTGCATCCAAAAAGTATTCATAGCGCTTCACTTTTTTCAAACCCAAACCCTGAATTCAAACCCAAGCCATTTTTGGGTATCGAGCAGAAGAGTATGCAAAATAACTCCTTGACGTTAGATGGTGCTACACAACTATAAGCTTCTGACACCCGCTCATAACACAGAAGAAGACAGAAAGTTGACACATTCGAACAAGCATGGATGTGTCAGGGTTGGTGAGGGGAAAGGAGCGAGGACTCAAGTGCAGGAAAAATGGGAATTTATTAAATAATAAAAATAAAATAAAATGCAAAATAAACTACCCCGGGGGGAAAACGTTAACAAAACAAATACATTCACATACAAACAGGACTGGGCAGACTGGCAAGAATGAGGACTGGAAACACAACAGGACTAAACTTCAAACGACGAAATGTGATGACGAACTGGCACAGGACAGCAAATGTGAGGGGCTTATAAACTGTAGAAAATTAACACACAAACAGGTGAACACAATTAACTAATAATGGGTTAACAAGGAGGGTGGGACAAGACAATAGACGGGAGAGCGCATGACACAGAGAGACAACACAAGCCATGCGCTCACATAACAGGACAAGAACATGCAGCCAATAAGAGAACTCATTAACTGCATGTTCATGACAACAAACACAACACTGAAGCACACGACAAAAGCACGTGACCACAATGTAAACACCGAGCCACGTGCTTTGACAAGAGACGCAAGACACGAGCACACGATAGATAAACACATTACCGTGCGCTCACACATAAGCAACGCGCATGCTTCATCTCAGCGCCAACCAACTGAAACCAACTAGACGGAGGCGCCGAGAATAAAGCAGCGTGATGCTGACAGAACAAACACAAACACTAGCACATCAAGCGGCAGCGCACACACTCCGCGTACACCCACGACGGCGCGCGCGCACACAGAGACAGAAACAGGACCAGACATGGGTAGTGTCAGAGCTCTGCCACTAAAACAAGAATTTACAAGACCAGAGTGGCAGAACCCTGACAGGATGGTTCAAGTAGTAGCTCCAGCTCTAGCGATGAAGAAATAATTATTGTTCACCAGTGCTATAAGCAGCTCTACATTCATATCGCCATCTTCAATGTGAACTCGCATTGACAGTTTTGCCCTTGAGTGCCTTCAAGTGCTGTTTACTGCAACTTCAGCAGCTACGTGCACGTGAACAAAAGTGCCAATCTGATTGGCGGAGATGGTTTTGACGCGGCATGTCAAAACAAAAAACGAGCATGAGGCGTTTCTTTAAAAATTATGCTTCTACGCCTACCGTTTTGCGTGTTGGTGTGCGCGACCACATTGGCTCCCTTTATTTAGTCACGAGACGTTAAACGTCAACAGAAAACACAAGCAAAAAACGTCCTGGTGTGCACAGGCCTTTATTCCAAAATTGATTCAATTAATTGATTTCCTCACAATTCTACACGCAATACCCCATAATGACAATGTGAAAAAATATTTTTTTGAAATTGTTTCAACTTTTTTAAAAATATAAAACCTGAAAAATGTACATAAGTATTCACAGCCTTTGCAGTGAAGCTCTAAATTGAGGTCAGGTACATTTGTGAGATGTTTCAGCAGCTTAACTGGAGTTCACCTATGGTAAATTTAGTTTATTGGACATGATGTGAAAAGGTATACACCTGTCTATATAAGGTCCCACGGTTGACAGTGCAGGTCAAAGCACAAACCAAGCATGAAGACAAAGAAATTGTCTGTAGACCTCTGTCTCAAACATAAGGCTGGGGAAGGTTACAGAAAAAAAATTCTGCAGCACTGAAAGTTTCAATGAGCACAGTGGCCTCCATCATCAGTAAGTGGAAGATGTTTGGAACCGCAAGGACTCTTCCTAGAGTTGGCCGGCCATCTAAGCTTAGCTGAGTGATCGGGGGAGAAGGGCCTTAGCCAGGGAGGTGATCAATAACTTGATGGTCACTCTGTCTGAGCTCCAGTGTTCTTCTGTGGATAAAGGAGAACCTTACAGAAGGACAACCATCTGTGCAGCAATCCACCAATCAGGCCTGTATGGTAGAGTGGCCAGACGGAAGCCAGTCCCAGTCTGGAATTTGTCAAAAGGCATCTGAAGGACTCTCAGACTGTAAGAAAAAGAATTCTCTGGTCTGATGAGATGATTGAACTCTTTTGAGTGAATGCCAGGCGTTACGTTCAGAGAAAAACAGGCACCGCTCATGACCAGGCTAATACCATTCTTACAATGAAGCATGGTGGTGGCAGCATCATGCTGTGGGGATGTTTTTCCAGCCGCAGGAACTGGAAGACTAGTCAGGATAGAGGGAAAGATGAATGCAGCAATGAATGAAATACATCCTGAATGAAAACCTACTTCAGATGGCTCTTGACCTCAAACTGGGGCGACGGTTCACCTTCCAAAATATCAATGGAGTGGCTTCACAACAACTCTGTGAATGTCCTTGAGTGGCCCAGCCAGAGCCCAGACCTAAATCCTATTGAACTTCTCTGGAGAGATCTGAAAATGGCTGTACACTGTCCCTTCCCATGCAACTTAATAGAGCTTGAGAGGTACTGCAAAGAGGAATGGACAAAAATTTCCTAAAGACAGGTGTGCCAAGCTTGTGGCATCATATTCAAAAAGACTTGAAGTTGTAATCGCTGCCAAAGTTGCATCAATAAAGTATTGAGCAAAGGTTGTGAATACTTCTGTACATGTGATTTTTCAGGGTTTTTTTTGTTTTAAATCGTTTGAGAATCCTAGTGTGTACCTGCAATAGTCATATTGCAGGATTAGATTATTTATTAAAGATTAAAATATCAAGGTATGCTTTTTTATTTCTACAATGATGAACATGTTATTTTACAATTTCCCCAGAAAAACACAAAGCACAGTTTATTTAATTGTTTTTGCTTGTAATTTAATATAATTTATGCAGGTACACGCACAGATTTATGCATAGAAAAAGACTTGATCTCCTCAGTCAATCTAAATGAATGAAATCTTTCCAAACAAAGCAGAAATTATATTCATATCGCAATACATAATCTAAATGAATGAAATTTTTCCAAATAGAGCTATTCAACTCATCTGGTGAAAATATATTTATATCACAATATATAACAACATACCGCAATGTCCAATTTTTCCAATATTGTACAGCACGTCCGGTCTCAGACCCACTGTATATTGTATGTCAATTTTGCAGTCAAGATCACTGATTTTAAACTACCACATCTTAAACCTGACGAGTTTATTATAGCAGGACAGTTCACTGGAAGCTCCAGAACTAGAACTGGCTTATTTAAAAGTCCTCATGGATGTACTGTAACTTATTCGGATTTAACAAATCATCTGAAATGTGGCTGTCTGGGTTACATTTAGCTGATTATCACTGGATCAAATGTAAATCGTAAGTTGTGGTCAGTATGAATCATAAAATAAACTGTGACTGGTTGCACCACTAGTGAGTGAAATTTTAAGAATAATTTAAGAATGTCCGTCATTATATGTAATTAGCTGACATGAACATAAAACCTGATGATCAAGCTCCCCAGCATTATTTAAAATGGTTCATGTAACCTTTTGCAAAAAAAAAAAAAAAACTTGTCTGCACAAGAGTCACATTTTTCACATTAAGTAATATAAAACTAATAAACATCATTTATAATGATAGGATTTCAGTGAAATTTGTATGTTTATGTTTTTAATGTCTCATTAGAACACATTTAGTGGATAAGTCTCATTACCTTGATGTTGTTGAGATTGACTTCAGTCAACGTGGGATCATTGGCCTTTATCCTCTGCAGACTTTCTTCAACGTTTGTAGGGTTTGGAGGTTCATCAAAAACAGGCTTTACCTTTTCTCCTTTAATGACATCTACAAGACAATGATTTATTCTCAAATGAGCTTCCACTGAATAACATGTGCATTATAGGTCCTGTGAAATGAAAATTAAGGATATCTATTTGCTAGTGCAGGGGTCACCAGTCTCGGTCCTGGAGGGCTGTTGTCCCAGCAGGGTTTAGCTCCAACTTGCCTCAACACACCTGCTTAGATGTTTCAACTATACCTAGTAAGACCTTGATTAGCTTGTTCAGGTGTGTTTGATTAGGGTTGGAGCTAAAATCTGCAGGACACCGGCTCTCCAGGAACAAGTTTGGTGACCCCTGAGCTAGTGTGTTCCAAAATTGCTGTTTAGAAAGTATAAAACCTATATAAATGTCTAAAGCTTGCAGTTTGTCACTTCCGCCTAATTGGATCAATGATTTTTTTACTACGTCACCTCATACTATAGTTTTAGCCTGTTTCCACTGAGTAGTATGGTACGGTTATATGCTTTTATGGCCGTTTCCAATGTCAAAAGGTACCTAAAAACGAACCGTACCGTACCACTTTTTGGTCACCCTTTGCAAAGGGTACCAAGAGGCCCAAAAGGGTACCATAAGGCGGAGCAAGACACGCAGCTGAACGCTATTGGTTTTACAGAGAAGCGTCAATCGCAGAAGCAGGAGACTGAAAACAAAGGATGCACCATTTTTAGAAACACAGCCGAGACATTACACTGTAATGATATATACAGTTAAAGTCAGAATGAATCATTAGCGCCCCTGTTTATTTTTTTCCCCAATTTCTGTTTAATGGAGGGAAGATTGTTTCAGCACATTTCTTAGCATAATAGTTTTAAAAACCCATTTCTAATAACTGATTTATTTTATCTTTGCCATGATGACAGTAAATAATAATTTAGGGTTAGGGAAGGGTAATTAGGGAAGTTATTCTATAACGATGGTTTGTTCTGTAGACTATCGAAAAAAAAAAATAGCTTAAAGGGGCAAATAATTTTGTCCCAAAAATGTTTTTTAAAAAACTGCTTTTATTCTAGCTGAAATAAAACAAATAAGACTTTTTCCAGAAGAAAAAATATTATCAGACATACTGTGAAAATTTCCTTGCTCTGTTAAACATCATTTGGGATATATTTAAAATAGGAAAAAAAAATCAAAAGGGGGCTAATAATTCTGACTTCAACTGTATATATGATAACAAGCCATGGTCGACCCGAGTTCAAACAAACCTTGTCCTCGTCTTGATGAATGGCCACAAAGCCAAGAAGAAAAAAATCTAAGGACTAAATGTATGCTGTGTGTAGTTTTTCTATAATTGAGAACATATCAGAGACTGTAAGGGTCTGTTTGTGTTTATATACAGTTAGAGTCAGAATTATTAGCCCCCCTTTGATTTTTTTTTTTGTTTTTTAAATATTTCCTAAATGATGTTTACAGAGCAAGGAAATTTCACAGTATTTCTGATAATATTTTTTTCTTCTGCAGAAAGTCTTTTTGTTTTATTTTGGCTAGAATAAAAGCAGTTTACATTAAAAAAAAAAAAAACACTTTAGGGACAAAATTATTAGCCCCTTTAATCATTTTTTTTTTCGTTAGACTACAGAACAAACCATCGTTATACAATAACTTGCCTAATTACCCTAACCTGCCTAGTTAACCTAATAACCCTAGTTAAGCCTTTAAATGTCACTTTAAGCTGTAAAGAAGTGTCTTGAAAAATATATAATCAAATATTATTTACTGTAATCATGGCAAAGATAAAATTAATCAGTTATTAGAAAGGAGTTATAAAAACTATTATGTTAAGAAACATGTTGAAAAAAAAAATCTTCTCTCGGTTAAACAGAAACTGGGGAAAAAATTAAACAGGGGGGCTAATAATTCTGACCAACTGTATGTTGCATTTATAAATTTTTTTGTATATAATTGCAGATGTCATTGATCTGCAGTTATAATCAAATCATGTTCATAGAAAACTTAGTAATGAACATTTATACACAAGTGTTTAAGTGTACAACGCATCCGTTTTGTTAGAAGAGCTTCTCATATGATATGTGATCGACCTGTACAGCTTTACTGTGACATTTTCTTGAGTAAAAATGACGTCGTCTGAAACTTTCTGTCGTACACCACGGCCACTAAAAGGGTACCCTTTTGGCAGTGGAAACGAAAGCCTGATAAAGGTGACCAGTACTGAACCTCTTAGTGGTAACGGCTCACTACTCATCAAAACTTGACCAATCAAATGCTCTTTAGTAAATGACATGCCCCATCCCCTTTAAGACGCTTTCTTATTTGTTTTTCATTTAATGCGCTTGATCTCAACCACTCTCATTGGCAGAGCTGTGATAAAAACTAAATGCTATTGGCTGTTTTTTTAAAGGGGAGAAGCTACTCTATATCCCATCCTATTATCATTTTTCAATTGAGATTACATCAAACATCTAATACAAACTGCACATTTCAAAGCACTTCACAGACCCTTTAAATGTAAACACATCAATAATAAATTGATACTTTAGGAGAAAATCTAATGTGCATGATATCTATTGAAAAGATGAAATCAACTTACTGTTATAACCGTCTTTACTGCCGTCATAACTCTGCGTGCTTGTCACCAGTGTGTTCACTCCAAGAATAGCTAGAAAACACAACAGTACACATTAAAATACAGTCCAAAAAAATACTTTAAAAAAATGTATTCTTGCTGTTTATTCCATCTACTCATTTAAAACAAGCTGAATAAACAAATCTTTAGATTTTTGGGTGAAAGTTAATTGCTTTTAATCCACCTAAATTTATAAAACACTCAAGTTAACTTAATCGATTTGTGTTTGGACAATATGAAGGAATGTGGAACCCAGCATTTTTTACAATTTAACGAACCTTGTTTATGAGACTAATTTAAAAAAGAAAAAAAATAGGTCACGATTAAAAAAATACATTAATTAAAATTTCTAACATTGATGGGTATAATTGCACAGTTCTGAGAAAATTAGTTAGAAATGCGACTCTCACAATACTTTTTTTATCATAAAGGCAACTTGAAAATGTACAGGCTTTCGCAACTAACTTTCGCAGATTTGTCTGATATCTCTTGCAATTCTAAGAAAAAGTAGAGAATTGTTGAAACTTGTTTCAGAATAGTTGAATAAAAGTGAGTTTTACACACAACTGGCAGTTTTTATTGAGAAAAACAAACTCCCAATTGTAACGAGTAAGAAGTGTGAGTTACAATCCCCATTTTTTTATTTTGCAACAGAGCCGACTGTTTCTGAAAACAAATGTTCTCTGGTTTACTAATCCATATGAAAAGAACGCAATGCAGAATTTTCTATCTGAGCTCATTAATTAGATCCCGCCTTATGCATTTAAACACAAATGGGTTATGGGATTATTATGGGATGTTGATCTCTGCTTGGTCAACTTTTGATATTCAATGTTCAACTCTACAGTTTAACAAAGGCTTGACATTTTAGTAGTTCGAAATAATATAATGTATAAGAAATAAAATATAGAGAAGTAAGTCTGTAAAATGACAGAAAATGTGCTGGCAGTTTATTACAAGGTTTTTGTAGCATAATATACAACACCAGCTCAGACAATATATTAATTTAACTATTAAAATTGTTCATAAAAGTCTTTTATTATTTTAATTTTTTACTTTTCAAGGTTAAAAGTTGTTGGAAGAAAGATCAAGGTCCCATAAAGCAATTCAAATGCATAAACAAATAGGAAAAAATAAAATCATGAGTCACAAAATGTGAAAAACTATTAATTTACAGATATTTTTTTTACATTGCTTTGTACCACTTATGTATGGTACTTTGCTAGCATTTTAAATTTTACATTTTTTATTTATTTTTTGGCAAAGCTGACCAAGAAACACATTCAACACATTTTGTTCACACTTAGCTGATGATTGATAATAAAGTGTATTTGGCATGCTGTCCCGTGAGAGAGCCTTGAGCTCCTAAGATCCTCGAGCCCGGGGAGTTTGAGTTCAGGTAGCTCTCGAGAACTACCCTGCTGTGAAAGTGTTAGGAATAGCTGAAATATAGCTGGCAAAGAGTTTGTCTTAAGACCTCACTTTGGAGTACTTATGATGTATGTCTTTGGACGGTGGGAGGAAACCGGGAAACTCAGGGAAAACCCAAACAAGCACAGGGAGAACATGCAAACTCCGCACAGAAACGCAGGCTGGCCTGATGAGGGGTTGAACAAGTGGCGTTCTTGCTGTGAGGCAACAGTGCTAACCACTGGCCCGCCCTGCTGCCCTATCAGGAGAAGTGGAGGAGTAGGGGTGGAAGGGGGGATTCTTCAAGACGAAAATGACTGCAGTGAAAAACTCTGGTTAATTATAGTGAGTCAGCATTCATTGGTGCAATATAGGGAGTTGATGCGGTACCAGCCGTCTTTAATCATAAGCACGTGTTCCTCTCAAAATTAGTTTATAAATAAACTACACAAAGAGAATAAAGTGCATCAAGATCATAATGAACCATGCAGTACGAGAAAACAGCTGGGGACAATCTCTTAAAGCAGCGTGCTGAAAGAAGCTGTTATTCTAGAGCTGTGATGGATGAAATGTGGGCGTTCGAACCCCCAGAGTCAAGGAGTAAAGGCTCTCGCAGAAAGAACCAACAGTACAAAGCTGTTCATTGAGGTTTAGAGCAATGAAACTATGCCTTTGATACTGGTGTTCTCTTAGCTTATGGTTGATCTCCCGTTACATCCCTCTAGTTGTAAGTATTTGTAGCTTTTTTTACCTGCCAGGTCATGCAGTTCTGTGTCAGTAGCACTGGACAGAGCCTCTTCCAACTCGGGGTCCAAGGTTGTGGCTTCCTCCTGATGAAGCTGGATTGGTTTTTGTTTGGGAATCCATACTTTTCCTGTCAAATGAAAAAAAAAAAAATGAATAAAAAAAAAGAGAGGTGATCAGTAACATAAAACACATAATTTGGTTTAATATGGTTCAACAAACAAGCAAAAAAAGTGCTGGGCTAAAACTAATCTCAATAAACCACATCCAAAATAAAAGTTTGTTTTGAAATAATACATAAGTGTGTACTATATTTAATATGTCCAGTGGTCCCTCGCTATAACGCAGTTTACCTTTCACTGCCTCGCCGTTTCGCTAATTTTATTTATTAACCACTTAAACTATTTGGGGATTTCCACCTGGATTTTACCTACCCAAATTTAAAAGCTTCCCAAATCCACATGCAGAGGTGTAAATGCAAAAATTTGGTATCATTTTAAACAAAACCCTTTGAATTTGCATAAAACACTATTGAAAGTGTTTAAAATAACTGTATATTTTGTCTGTGTTATAATAAACACCTAAAAAAGAGGCGCTTTTTGTAATTTTTTTTTTTTTATAAACTCAAATTTGAAAGTGTACCTTTTAGGTTCTGTGTGGTCTAGCGTGCTGTAATTAATTTAGGTGGTTCCTGCACGTCTGTAATCATAGGAAAAAAGAAAAAGGTCTCCACCATAATCTATGCAAAAGTTATTGCATTCCAACTGATGAGAGGTGCTGTACAAGCCACAGAGATCGATCATTGTTTCCATATTTCACTATTCTTTTGTTTGATCAAACATAATTCACTGTGTTTGGATCACATCAGACATATAAAAGGATTACTTATGCACATCATCTCAAAAACAGAGGAGAATGGCCCTGAAGGGCACAGCATAAGGTAAGAGATGACAGCTTTCTGTGCTATCTGGGGCTGCTTATTGATCATAAATGTATTGTTTACATTTCTGCGCCATGGAAACACCACAATTCATCCAACAACCGTTTGGCATATGAATATAATTCAGTAACAAAAATGCTAGAACTGTATGAGCACCGGCAAGAGCTTTCATTTGAGCTATAACTTGTACATGTGTCATATAAAAAAATATGAAAATGAACCAATGTAAAATACCTAGCTCGGGTATCCAAAATACAGTGTATTTAAGTGTAAATAACTTTTATACAGTAGAATAAAAACCAAAGTGATGCATATGTGCATAAAATATAGATTCTACACTTTCAAACGAAACCACTTACGGGGTTCTGGTGCAACGCTAGCCCTTTAAATCTGAAAGCAAAAGTCGATGACGTCGCAGAGTTCAAGTGGTTAATTTAAATATATAAAAAATACTTTTTTTTTTTTTAATAATCAAATAAATACATAGATTTTAATGTTTTATGCTTAAAACTAATGGATTAAACACGGACGAAATTTCAGTCTAATAAACCTTCACTCTTGCTGTTTGTTCAAACTACTTATTTAAAATGAGTTAAACAACAAGATTCCCAGGGTTTTTTGAAGACAACTTAAACATTTTATGTTCGATCAACTTAAATTTGTTAAAAAGATTAAGTTAACAATCGATTTATGTTGAGACAACCTTGAAAGAATTGTGTGGAACCCTTAATTTCTTACAGTGCTCACTGAAAAGACCACAGCAAAGAGAGGTTTAGTAGTCTAGTCAGACATGATGTCCATCTACGTATATGAAGGGGTGGAGTTTATAAACTGGACACTGATGGCACAGAGCAGGCCCATCATGATAACTGCTCACCGCTTGACCTCATCTAGACTACAGTGTTATCAGACTCTCTTTGACGCCTGTAATGAGGTCAGGTAATATGACGCTGGTCTTGTGATGAGCTCTTTCTCTCTGGACAGTGAAAAACACACAGTCTTCAGCTTTATTTAGGACATGTGACTGCTGAGACAGAGAGGGAGAGCGATGTTTTGCTAGACTGAAAGATTAAGCTGCACTGTTTCTAAATGCACTAATGCAGGCTAAGCAAACTGACAGAAAACACCTTTAATCATTAACTTAAGAAAGCATTTAGGTCTCACCACAACTTTATCATTCATCATTATATTTTGCGGGGAAGCCAAAATGCTTTCATACAGGTGATTTGAATAATGCATGAAGGCAATCTCTCTTCAATTGTTACAAATTTTGGATTACTTTAATTTACTTTAACCAGTTAAACTCTGCTGCTATTTCGGATTTCCGAAACCTTTTAGGTTCTGTGTGGTCTAGGTTGCTGTAATTCATTTTGGTGGTTCCTGCACATGTCTGTAATCATAGGAAAAAACGATGTCTCTACCATAATCTATGCAAAAGTTATTGTATTCCAACTGATGAGAGGTGCTATACAAGCCAGAGGGACCGATCCTTGTTTTCATATTTCACTATTCTTTTGTTTGATCAAACGTAATTCCCTATGTTCGGACCATGTCAGACATAGAAAAGGATTACTTATGCACATCACCTCAAAAACAGAGGAGAATGGCCCTGAAGCGCACAGCATAAGGTAAGAGAGGACAGCTGTCTGTGCTATCTGGGGCTGCTTATTGATCATAAATGTATTGTTTTCACTTCTGCGCCATGGAAACATCGCGATTCATTCGGCAACTGTTTGAAGTGTGAATATAATTCAGTAAAAAGAATGCTAGAACCGTATGAGCACCGGCAAGAGCTTTTATTTGAGCTATAACTTGTATACGTGTCATATATAAACCATATGAAAATCATGAAAAAAAACCAGTGTTCAATACCCAGCTCGGGTATCCAAAATACTGTGTATTTAAGGTGTAAATAACTTTTGTACAGTAGAATAAAAACCAAAGTGATGTATATGTGCATAAAATATAGATTCTACACTTTCAAACGAAACCATTTAAGGGGGTCTGGTGTATTGCTAGCCTTTTAAATCTAAAAGCGAAAGTCGGTAACATCACGGACCCGGTATAGGCTCTGCAGAGTTTAACTGGTTTTAAATGAATCGTAATGCTGTAGTTCGCCTTTTAGTAGACTGATCCAGTTTATTGCTTTCAAATGTAACTATTTAACAAATACGTTTTTAACTTCCCCCGATGAAGAAAAACACTTCAGTAACTAATACAGCTGGATTGAGTTAAAAAAAATTATGCCACATTTTATTTATGGGTTCAGTTTCTCTTTAAGACTCTATAAAGAACGTTCCATAATGATTCTAGACGTTTGTGAATGACATAATCTTTCCAGACGTTCAGAAGCTCAGAAACCTCTCATTACACAGAGTCATGATTAAACCTCAGCCCTTACCTAAACCTACATGAAAACTATCTACTCTACCCTCATTTGTGTTTTCTTCCTTTGAGGCCTGTGAGGTTTGGAAACACACCACATTATTCAGAGTGACTTGTGACACATGATTTGCTATTTTTTTCTTCTCCAGTTTCATTCAGGGTTGGATAATAGTAATACACTCTTACTGCATTGGGTAAAGCGCAAACCATTAAGCCATGGGAGGCCGAATTTAGTACTTTTATTATTTGCTGTAATGCACAACATGAGTTATTGTTCTTTATAAATGTGCGCTCCAGTGTTTCTAACAGGAACAGGCTGTGGTTCAAAGACCTTTCTCACTGTTGGACACAAGAACAGCCTTTTTGTTTGAGGTGTGGCTGAATTCCAAACATGTTATCAGTGTAAAAAATGAACCAGGAAAAAAGCTATTTGCAGAGCCACTGGTGTGGAAATCAGAGACTGCTGGGTTTTTAAAATGATCATTGTAAAGTGTTCTTATTGTCCAGGATTTGACTGAAGTTAGTCTCAAGTCAGAGTTTAATTCTTTAGGTTAGTTTGATTGGTTCAATGCATTATTTAGCATTTGTCATTTGGAAGACTGAAGGTTTTTTGTTGTGTGTGTGAGCTAAATGAGCTTGCTGTTTGTGAGGACACATAAAAAGTATTTTTTTGGCAAAGAACTAGAAGCGATTATAAAATTTGTAGTCAAAACAGGAGGAGGAATTCCAAACTAATGCCTGTACTGAACTGTTGTGGGTAGCGTAACCATTTTGATAAAAGGTATTACGTTCTTGTGACACCATGACCTGTTTTTGAATATTTTAGCAGTCTTTGATTAACAGCGTGTTGGTATTTTAGACAAACCACCTAAAATTTCATTTGGAAGTGGATTAAGACCCATTCTAAGAGGCTGCTAAAGTGTTGTCTTAGCATAATTTACAACATGGTATAAAAAACAAGTAGGCGTGGGTGATATAAACTTAAAATTATATCACAATATTTTCTAGTATTTATTTCAATACAATATTATTGATGATAAGTCAGAAGTATCCACTGAGAGACACACAAAAAAAAAAAGTTTACCACAAAAAGTCCTTGATCTTTACAGAAAAGGTAATAAATTTTCATATTTTTATTTTTAAAAAGGTATTTAACCTAGCACCCTGATGCCTACTATATTACAGACACAATTTTCAAAATAGTTCAATTTGTGCCACTGGATCAATACTGAATGCGTTTCGTTGTTATTATTTAGGGTTAGGGTTAAGAGTAGAGTAATATGCTGGTGTTTATCTGCATTTCATTATTGCATTCCTCCATTGGGTTCTCACATAATCTCTGCTACTTCATAGCCATGGT